CTGGACCTCATAGTGTAGAAATGTGGTCCAGCCCGCATGAAACAATTTTCCATAAAAGAGTGCTAAAAACATTAATAAAGACATGTAAAGCAAACCTTGCTACTTGAGGCCCTTGGGATCTAGGACCAAAACCAGGACCTCCGAAAGCAGGTCCACCCCTGTGACAAAAGGGGTTTTATCAATGCACCGAAAACAAAGACTAGGCAGCATTTTGATAAATACGCACAACCCACCTTGAATCTCCAGTTCTAGGTCTCTTTGGATCAGCAAACCGAACCGTCAATGGTTGATCACAGCCCTAGAATGAAATGGATATTAAAATCAAATGGGCAAGAATATAAAGAAAACAAGCCACAACACCAACAAACAGATCACATATTTCAGAGACACGCTTACCCTCATTACATAATTCCCGTTCAGTGCATTTATAGCAGCTATAGCCATGTCTTTGTAAGGATATTTAACAAATCCGCATCCTGTGCAAATTATTGAAAATAAAAGATGTCACCAATGAAGAGGACAATAAGACCACAATTAAGAATGTCAAATTTTAGAAGGTTGAGGTTGAATATAATAAAATAAAAATTTTCTCTTAATTGGTAGGTCAACTATCTCGAGGTTGATTATATATAAATGTAATAGGACACACCACGACTCTGCTTTAGGTCATCCCGCATAATGTACACATCATCAACACGACCATAAGGAGCAAAGATCTGTCAAACATAGTGGAAATGAGATTGTTATTCTTAGGCAATAAAACAACCGATGGAAAGCAGAATGTAATAGATAGAAAGTTAAATGATCATGAGAACAGGTGAGAGTAACGCACCACTAGATGAAAACACAGCTTTCATACTAAAATAAAAAATAGACTCGTTCAAACAAAATAGAGTGGTGGTCACCATACAAGAAACAAGAGAAGCTTAATAACAATTCAGGTTTGCCACAAAGCTTACCTCCTCAATTTCCTTTTCTGTGGCTTGTTTATTTAGTGATCCAACAAACAATTTGTACTCAACTGCACCTAACATAAATATGGACATCAGTAAATAGAAAAATAAAGGCACAAAACTTATGTAGCATACAAGTTTGCTATTTGCTGTATGTGCCTTCACCCATGCATACATGCATAGCCACACTCGTATACATATAAACATACACATAAGCATGTATAGATGCATATGCAGAAATGGTACATATGTCACACAATCAAATAATAAGTTAATGCAAATGACAATGTTCGCTACATGTTAATTCTTTCCTACTTAATTTAATCAATAGAATTGCTTCTCCCCCAAAGTGTAGAACATAGAATCTCCTTTTCCACCCAAGAATCATCAGTTCAAGGTAATTTGGGTTTCGTTAGCCCTATTCTAGCTTAAACCCTATGGACAGGGTCCATAATTATAGAAAGTTATCCCTATCGTGAAATATAGGTATGGAGCAGCATTTTGGTAGCTGCCCCATTGTAATAAGCACCAGCAAACAGCCCAATTGACCAATAAAGCACCTTTAACCAAAGCACCTTTAACCACAGGCAAAATAATGCAAAAGAGCCCTTCCCAACCACAGCATTAGTGGATTCCAAATAGTCAAAGGAATTCAAAGCACCTTGGCTATTTCTAGAAAAAGTGAGAAGATGGCTAATTCATTATAAGGCTTCTCATCAAGAATTCAGTTTCTGATCAACCAATAACCTTGATGCACTATCCTTAGATATTCATGGAAGCCCAGTAATGTTTATTTTCAATCACAATCAAAGAAAACTGGTGCCTTTTGTCCTTTTTTTGAAAGCATGTATCGTTTTTTTTTTTTTGAGAATGACAGCATGTATCTTTTTAATCACCAATAGCAGTTAAACTGGTCAACATGTTTCACACAATCAGACATGCTTAAAGGATTCAGACAATTACCAAGGCGTTCACGCTCTCCATCTGCATATCTAACTTGGATGGGACCTGAACCCTGGAAACCCAAACAAAAATGATTCAACAGTGTTTTGATTAGATCATAGGTGGAACAATCTGTCTCTTTTGTCTCCACAGAAAACTCACCCCAGGTAAAGTACGTTGGTTGTGCAAAGATCTAATAGCTCTGTCAGCTTCCTCCTTAGTTGCATACTTTATAAAACAACAGCCTGTAAAAGTAAATGTTATACTGCCCGATTTCATGAGGTTACCAAGACACAAATTACACATCATGGCAATCATATTTATGAGCACCTGAGCCTTAGCTTATGCTCATGCAAATACAACCATCCACACAACCAGACAACAGGAAACAAACTATGGAACAGAAATAATGCTTATACATACATAAATGCATGCATTCATCTATGCATGTGAGTCCAAAGCTGAATAACTGACTGAATATAAAAACTACCACATAGCTGTTTGTGATGATTAATGGGTAAGCATTGATAGATAGTCGAAATACATGTAACTACAACCACAAGGATGAGCACACAGGGACAAATATGTAGCTTACACATCCTCGCATGTGGGCGTATACACATGCATGCATGACAGTAGATTTCATCCTAAAAACAAGTATATAGACTACTGCCAAAAGCATATAGCATGGTTATCAATGTCACATAATTGTACAGGTACACACACCATATGCATGGGTGCCATCAGTTCTATGAGACCATGGTTATCAATGTCACATAATTGTACAGGTACACACACCATATGCATGGGTGCCATCAGTTCTATGAGACCATCGTGAGGAGGCCTTCAATGTAAAAAGTAAAGGCCAATATTTCTTGGACACTACGAGGAAGATAATCACACAAACACCAATTATCCTATACCAATTGGTTACACAATCACTCCAAAGAACATGTCAATGCACTTCAAATAAACTAACCATATGAATCACTTTATGGACCTCCTCCACAGGATAGGAACAGTTTTCTAATACACCAGCAGGTGATCAGGACTCCAAAACACTCCAGGAGACATAAAAATGGCCAGATCAACATATAAACTAAGAATCTCCATGGAAAACCAAAAAAAGGATTCAAGATCTTATAATCAGATCAAACTAATACCAGCTATAAATAGAGCAAAGAGTCATTGGCTTAATGGAACTACATGGTGTTTACCTGGTCAGCTTCACATAAAATCACTATTTGAAAGTCGGCTGACTTTTCAAAAATCGGCGGAATAACTCAGACTCGGGCACCGGCCGAGCCCAAGTATGCGTGATTTCATAGGCCATGTATTCGGGAATTTCCCTACAGTGCACTAATCGGCCAAGTTACACACCAATGGGCACTAATCGGTCGATTTGTGCACTAATCTGCTTTTATTTTCAAATTACTAAAGTGAGATATGAATTTTATAATTTATAAAACGGCTTTTATTCTCAAACTAGCTTTTTAGGATAAAAAACTTCTAGTTCACTGAAAAAGCACTGCTTCAGATGCCTAAAAATTTTGTCCGGAACCAATTATGGCTATAATATTTTTTTTTCGCTTATTTTATGTGATAATATAAAAAAACAATACATATAAAATAAAACATTTTTTATAAATATTTTATAATTTTTTTGGGATTTTTATCCCCATATTTTTCCAGTATAAAACTCAGCACTAATAGGCCAACTAAATCTGAGTCGGCCCTGAATAATCGGCTCAGGCCATGACTGACTAGTCGGCCCGACTCGTTCTTTCCAGCACTGCATAAAATACATATGGAAAAGCATTCACAGTTTCTACTTTAAGAATCCAATAATCTATAGAAAACTCTTAACAGCAGATGAGGAAGTATAAATAAATGACTGGGAAAAAATAAATACATCACAATGGGAAACATTAGCACACTAGAACCCACAAGTTTCCAATTCTAATAAAATTAAAAACATCCACAATGGACCTTCATGTATACATACACAGTGAGAAGAAAAATATTAGGCATTTGAGAAGAAAGTTATATAACATAATAGAGCCCCAAATCTCCTTATAAAACCAAGGCAGGCCAAAGAATTGGTCCTCAGGATATGCATAGACCACATTGAGATAAAACAGCACAACCATATAAAGAATATCATTTAATAAATTGATAAATTTAAATTGTATGCTCATAAGTCATAACCTAGTCATACTCCAATGGCCATAGAAACGGACTACCACAAGTGATCTTTATAATCATACAACAGGAAATAGCAATATCTGCCTCATCAGAAATTCATCTACGCAGACTAGACTAGCCAATTAAATTAGCTTAACAGTTCCAAATAGGATTGTTGCAAGACTGAAACTAATAATCACAACTTAGATCTGTCAGCATGGAATTGAAAAAAGAGGTTTATTACACCTTAGATTTACCATAATGTGTTATACAAGAAGAAACAAGGTCATGCAGCCGGTAAAATACTAATTGCGCCATGGTGTGGTGTACCAAAGAAACAGCTCATACAACTGGTAGAATACTATCCCTCCAAAAAGTTTCCATCATCAAAGTGGAACAGTGCAAGAGATTGAGTTATAGTTGGCAAAACAACTAGAAAATTGTATATCAGCATTGTAACTAAATAGCCGCAATGTCATATTTACAAGGGTAATATATTTTGATTATACAGGCCAAATGGTAGATCAATCATCAGTGCAAAGCATATGATGGCTCATCCAAAGGAGAACACAGCGTAAACATTAAATCCAAGATGAGTAAACGGTTTTGTGGGAATCCTCACGCCCTTGCACACAAACACAGCTTGAGAACAAAAAGCATAACAATCTTAAAAACAAAGAACATAAGGCTGTTTGGCATCCAACACCACGCAAAGCACTACAGCGAAAAGTTCCTCTAGGTGGTTCCGTCATGAGAATAAGTAAAAGTGTAGACAATAGAGTTGCAGACAAGTAATTGCACCATCAGACTGAAAGAATATTCAGTAACATAACATAATCTCCATGTCATGCTCATGTCCCCCTTTATTTGTACTTTTCTTTTCTTTTTTTGCAATTAACCATCAAATAGACGAGAAGTACACACCCGTTGGTACCCAGAGATACATAAGATTCGTTATCATCCACAAAAAATCGCAATCGAAAAAGCACGTGCCACAAGATAATCTCCACGTACGTACAAGAGTGCTCACGAACAATCATTCATTATAAAATTAGAAAGTAAACCATTCTCCCGAAGAAGTTCCAGAGAACGCACAAGAAAATTCCACACTAAACCATTATCCAGGGAAAGCTCCACGCTATGCCAAAGATACATAAAAATGAAGACTCCCGAGTCATTTTATCCAGAAACAATTGCAATCGGAAAAGCATGTATGATGCCATGATCTCCGGACACTTCACAGAAAAGAAAAATCATGGACAACCATTCCAACATAAAAGTAGAAAGTAAACCATAATCTAGAGAAAGTTCCATGCAAAACCACAGCCCACAGTGGACCCTGTGCCATAAAAAAGGTATGACAAACACACTCAAATGATTAAATATTTAGCCACATAACCCATCCTTCTGCTTATTAAAAAGAGATTTCCAAATTACTGAAAGCCCCACTATTTCTTATCTCCCATGGGTCCATACATCACCATAATATGAAAATGCCGCAACAAGAGAATTTTAAATTCCCAGTACCAGAAACCAACTCATTTGCCATATTCCACCAGACTCCCATTTTCATTCCCCATAGCCCACTAAATATAGATAGCACAAGCATGAACACGAATTCGCCAAATATACTAATCATCAATCAATCTAATCAACCCCAGCGAGAGGAAAATTTGTGAAACCTTCATCGTGATACATAGCATTCTAGTGACTGAAAATCATCGTGACAGAAAACCATCACATATGGCATATAAGATGGCCTATGCTTTCAGTGTTATCTATAACACCCGTACATAGTTAGAAACAAAGTTTGTTCATTCTTGTAATCAAGGCTCAAAATTTTTATCATCACACAATGGGACAAGAACCAAAGATAACCAGTTTCAACAGAACATCAATTATCTTCATTTTTTTTTTAATATGTAAGGGTATATATATAGGTAGGAATGGGACCATGGTCTCAGTGTCAGGGTAACTGTAACCATATCCCGGAAGACAACCTCTCTTTAGGTCAAAGAACAAATTAATTATTTTGGAAAGAAACAAAATCATAGCCCATTTCATGAAAAACTCCCACGACACTAAAGTAGGAATACCAAAATCGGCATTTTTCAACGACATGCCTATGTCCTTTTAGATTAACTAAAAAATTGAGATGCTGCAAATATGACAGGGAAACGCACCATGACCAGGACAGAAAGCTCAAAATATAACCATTACCATTAGAAAGTTTAGTGTGTGTGAATAAAGCCCTATACTTAAAAAGCCATACGACACCCAGAGCATCATACAACAATATGACCAATCAGACAAAGATAAGTTGAATTTCAGGACCACAAACCGCACTCTTAGTTAAGCACTACTAAGAAGTCATGCACACACTAAATGGGAGGACACATATCAAATCTCACATGAGCATGTATATCATAATTCACATGGATAGAATGACTTCAATCGACACGAATTTGAACTTCCAATTACAAGAATTATTGGGACATTCCGCTACACTCTTCCAGTAGTTCATATTCCACGTCAAAACATAATATTAGGAGAACACCAAGATGTGAGAAAGCATACACACATTAAGCACCATGCAATCAAAGTCCACAAAAAAGACAAATATGGGGAACCTCCATGCATGAATCAGGATTGGCAGCATTTGAGCACCCTAAACTGGAACCACACAACACAGATCCATAAGATGAAGAACTAAAGTTGACCAATCATTATTACTCCCGTTTAATAGACAACGCCCTTGGTCTCTCATAAAGAAAGTTGGTTATTCCTATTAGTTTGAAATCGAATTTCAGAAACAAATCTAAGGATTGACACGCACGAAACATACCAAAACTCAAACCAGTTTCTACAGACCATCCACAATCATGAATTTCTTAACATACAAGAAAATTTTCAAACCAGCCCATGGCAGCAGTCTTTCCTAGGTTACCAAGATAAACTGGTCATTGAAACCCTCCACATTATACAGTAAGGTGGTTAATTCCCATCCAAAAGCAAATTAATGCTGTCACTTACTGAACAACAACTGCATTGAACATCCTGACACTTGCACCAAAAGCTACATTATGACAATGGACCACTCAATTACAGATGAATTGTTCAGTCATTGCTGGCGATATGTCACCACAGCAGTGAACCGTACAAGAGCATTCCCGACTGCTAAAGGCTACCAAGGTTTAGAAGGAAGCCAAAGTCTTGAAAGAATCTTCTTCCATATGGATGGACAGGACCTAAAAGAACAGTTGCCAGACAAAAGAACTGAAGCACCACAAAGTGCTCCAAACCCTAACCGAGAATGAGATATGATCTTATCGCTCCTGCCTGCCCTTCACAGAGCACCTGAAAGAAGCCAAGAGTAGATCCGTGATCGAACTTCACATTAGATCAACACATACCTTGTTGTTGACCAGTTCTCTTATCCTTGATCAAAGCAACCTCCAGGACATCCCCATGCTCAGCAAACAATGGCCGTATCTGCAATAACCTCAGCAGCATCAATCGTATGGAATAAGCATCTTTTCTTCAAGAAATTAAATAAGCAACTAAATAAATAAAACATACAAACATTATCTTTTTGTCCTTGTCTGGCTCATTTTTCCCAATCGATAAACTATTGAACATGGAAAAAGATTTATGAATCATTCCCTCTTTTGTCCTCCCATGAGTTTAAGATATTTAAGAGAGTCAAAGACAAATCAGTTCTGCATATGGGCCTTCCCCAATAAGCTAAATGGAAGTACTACAGCAGAAATCATAGCATTTAATTATAGCAAAGAAGAATCCAACTAAAGTGTGACTATGGGAGTGACACTACGAGTGGGTCACAGATAGAGTGGGGGCCTTGCACCCCCTTCTTCACAAATATACACCGTAGACAAGGGCTATTTACACCCTTGGGCAGGCAAGCGCCTGCCAGGAGTTAACCTTGCTCAGGCAATTTAAATGGGAATATGCAGCGCAGATCTCCACAACCTTGCCTCTTGGCTACTGCAGAACCACATTTTTTATACACTGTATAATGCTGGTGTGATTTTCTTTTAATTTTGATAATTATAGGTCACTCAGATTTTAAATGCTATAGACCAAACAACAAGCCAAATGAAGTTCGGACTTCAGAGAACCTCCTCATAAACCTTAAAATACCAACTTTCAAAGCTTACTTTACAGGGATCCAGAGTGAGTTGTTTGCCATGGGCTTGTCATGGGCTCGCCAAAAACAAAAATGATTAGATAATCAGAGGTCATTTAGTGATCTAAGTATAAAGCGCAGTCACAAGTTTCTCTTGGTTGAATATTAAAGAAATGCTGCCTTGAAAATAAGAAAATCAATGCGGAGCTTTTCTATAATAGTTTTCCAAGAAAGCACTGTAATAAAGGTTGTCGTCTGAATGTAACTAGATGGCTTGAGAGGAACCATATCCAAGTAGCAAGAGCGCTTGTTAGCAGACGTCTTTTACTTAATAGCGGAAAGTATGAAACCTTTAATTTTCCATTATTCAAACTTGGAGTGGTTTATATTTTGACACTTTTAGAAGCTTTATGCCATTATGTTTCTTAGCGCCAATCCGCTCAGTTTGTCTAATCTTTGAATGATTTAAGGAACTACTCGAAAAGAAATACATCAACTAACTACAACATAAACCTAAAACTCATAAAATCCCCTTGGTTTGTGCAAATAAGGTTCTCACCCAATTATTTCTAGCTAACATGACTCAAGCTAAAACCATATTCAACTTCATTAACTTCAAGTGGCAACTTCATATCACTACTCCAGTCTCTAAGTCTGCAACCCAAGATTGTTACTTACACACTTCCATTTCTTCAGGTGAGACCGCTTCAGACTTTCTCAATGATTATAACTCAATTAACTTTAAGGCCATACAGCTGCTTGCACAGTTTAGTGCGATGAAAAACTAGCTGCACCAAATTGCTTTACATGGAAAGGCCACACAGCTCTTTCACAGGTTTCTCTTAGTTCCTAAAAGCAAATATTATCATAGAATTTGGGCCTATATGTTGTAGCTAATGGCTCTGCACCAACCAACCAAAAGTGGTCCCTGACTATGAAGTTACACCATCTATGGACTGGTTCACTACCCAAATATGCTCTTAATTCATGACACAGATTCATGTTCACTGATTCATTCCTGGGTCCATTCTAAATTAGGTCACATAATGACTCAACTTCTGTAGGAAGATTCCAGGATGCTTCAACTTCCAGAATTTTCTTCCGGGTTGTTCTTTTTAAGATACTTCTTTGCCCCAATCTACATTGTGATATTTTGTCTTAAATACTCCATGAGACTTTCTGAATGTCAAATCGCATCACAGAAAAAATACCCAATAGAACAAATTAACTATGAAAAAATAAATTGCCGTCATCAACAAAACCATAAATCACTGTTGGAATAATTAATACTTATTTTCTAGATGTAAATTATAGGCATCACATGTACTTGAAGGCGGAATCATTTCATTCAACGTTTACATGGAGACTATGGAGAACATGCAATTAATGAATTAATAGCTAGGCAGGTATATGAAATAGAGACATACATCTTCTTCCGTAGCTGTCCTAGGCACAGATCCAATAAAAAGTTTTGCATAATTACCACCATCAGCAGAATCTGGAAAAAAAGGCACAATCATGGTAACTAAAAAGGTTATATACAAGGAGATCATATGTTCAAGAACCAAGATTACAGTACAGCAACAAAAGAAATATTAAAACTGACAGATATGGTACCCACGAATCTTAAGAGTTTGGATAAAAGAGTGTCAAACATCTGATGTGTTACTAATATACAAATCTGCCTGTATGACAGACAAACAAAAAGAATGTGTTTGATACTATATTGCAATAGAGAGCTAAGGAAGTATGAAAGGGGGTTCAAGCCAGAGTCCAAGTATTTAGTAACTCCAACGGACTCCTCTCTATTGACACCTATGCAAAAACACCACAGGCTTTTCCCTAGCAACTAGCTCCATAGAATACAACTCCTAGGAATCATGTTCAGGACGATCCCTTGTGGGTATAGGACCAGGCCACCGAGGAACTAGACCTAAGCTGTTTTCGTTCTTTATAATTCCACAGGTACCCAACCCATGATCAGCTAATAAGAATGCCAGAGTGACCAGCTGAGCATAGAATAAAGAAGTTCCTATTCTAACAAGAAATGGCAAGCCCAAAAGAATCAGATCATTCTCAAGTTATTTTTTTTATTTCTGTGAAAAGTAACCAAAACTTTGCTAAAATCCAAATGTGATCTCTCAAGGCATTATGGCAAGGTCTCTATTCCTTTTTTTTAATAATTTGACGAAACCAACAATGTATCCTTTTGAACTGACTCTATAACGATGAACGTGGGTAGTGGTTCCTGAAGTTTATAATCAAATTGTCTTTAATGTAGAACTGCAAAACAACAACTGGGGCATTTTCTTTTGCAAAGCTAATCAAGGAAATATTCAAGAATCGCAGTAGACGAGAACATCTGCCACTTTTACAGCCAGTAAGTGTCCGAGCAAGAAGATTTAGTACAAGCCCCTAGAATGTTTCCTGAGCATTATAACCAGAGAATGATAATGACCATATGCCATTAGCCACAACGAATATGAAAATGGTCATTCAATTCAGGGATCACTTTATCCAAAAGCAAGCAGGACAAATAGTCGTGATTCAGCTATCGAATTAAGCATGCTCTAGAAGTGGTTATAACTAAAAAATACAGAGCATAAAAATGCAACCAAAGAACAAAAGGAGAGCAGTTAGCCTATAAGTTGTGATGCATGAGCAAATCGCTCGTATTCTGGATTTTTCCAATTGAAACTCAAGGACGTATACTTTGGGGGATATTTAGGGTTTATTTTTCTGGTTTAGTTCATTACAGATTTTAGGATTTTTTTACTTTTTTAGGATTTTTAGAAGCCGTTTGGAAAAGTAGTTAGAGCACTTCGAAATTATTATTTTATCAGGGTAAAACTATCTTTACAAATTTTGTTATAATTAGGACTTCCATTTTAGTTATAGTTAAGATCTCTTAGGGTCTAACCAAGGTCTCTATTACATAAAATTTTGAAATAAAGAAGGAAAAGAGCTTTGCTTCGGAATCCCTGGTTGATGCCATACAAATTGAACATCTAAGGAGGCAATTGAAAATCTATGGAGGCAACTCAATAGCTTGCATGCCAATTCGGGGGCATCACTAATGGGCATGACAGTGATCTTTCCGCACAAGAAGACGTTGAGTACAACCCTTTTCACCATTATGCTCCGCATGGGGATCCCAATTAAGAGGAAAGTGAAGAAAGGCCTAGACTTAGAGAGCAATCACTCCAGGGATTTCAATACGAAGGTTGATATTCGCAAATTTAATGGTAAGCCTCAGCATGGAGAATTTATTGATTGGTTAGATACCTTAGTGAGGCTTTCTGATTATCGAGTAATTCCTGAAAACAAATAGGAATTTCTTCCCAAGCCCTAGATGATCGTTGTGATTTCATGGTTATGCAATCTTTGATGAGGAACCTTTTGATAGAGTTAGTGATCATGGCTTTGATAGTGATCAAATCTTTGATGAGGATCCTATCATTGATGATGATTTAGTAGTTGATATCTGCTGAGAACAGCACGATGAAGAACTCCAAGAAGAATCAATCGGTGAGGTTGTTGGTTTGATCATCAAATTTAGTGCTCATCATGAAGATGCTCTCTTAGTGTGTCCTTGGGTTGAACCAAGCGTACGTATCGTAACCACTCTGTCAACATACAAAGGCCCCTTCCTTGATGTGTTATCAAAAGAGTTTATGAATATATCAGTTTATTACAAAGACTATGTGTCAATGCCCAATGGCTCTATCTTTCTTGGGCCATTAACCAATTGGTCCCCATATTCAAGGAACAATGCTCAATTTAAATTCGATAAAGATATTAATGCAGGATTCATCTTAGCCAATTTCAAAACTGGAAGACAAGTTTCTTTCTCCAACCAATGGAGTTTGATGCAAGAGCAACACCTCATATTTTTAAATTTTTCCTACTAAAATTCAAAGGATGTATTGTTTTTAGGAATTTTAAGGGTTTAATTTATTGTTTTTTAAGTTATTTATGGATTTTGGGGTTTTTTATTTATTGTTTTTGGAATTCTTAGGAGCTTTTTGGGAAAATAGATTACCTTATGGAATTATCCATTTTATGAGGGGTAAATATATCATTGCGAATTTCATTTTAATTAAGACTTCCATTTTAATTAGATTTAAGATTTATTAGCGCCTAAGTAAGTTCTTTTTTATAAATAGGGGTTAGAAGATTTTTAAATAAAGAATGAAGAGAGCTTTGCTATGGAATCCCTGGTTAAGGTTTTGTGTAGAAGAATCCTCAGGTTTCTCCAAGAAATTGCTTATCTTGGCCTGAAATATTGTTGATCTTATGTTCTTCTTCAAATTTCCCACATCAAGTTGTGGAATCTAACAAACAGATAAAGAATAAATAACCATCCTATTCACAAAACAACCAATCCACGTTTTCTATCTTAGCAGAAAAAAAGGATTCACTAAAAGCTTATTCACAACCAACCATCAGAATAACGTCTATATATCAAGCATATTGGTGAAATTGAGCATAAATGGACATGAGCAGCTTTTTTATATAAATAAAATAAAGTGGTAATGGAAGTTATCCAATCAGAGAACCAAAGGTACCAGCTTTCTACTTCTGCATGTACAGGTTATACCAAAAAAAAAGGAAAAAATAAAAGTAAACAATAAATGAAACCCCATCTCCATATTCCATTATTCAAAGAGTTCACAAGTGTCTTTCCTCCTCTTATCTAGTTATTGTTCATGCTAACACTTCAAGGCTTCCAAGCTGAAAACCCTAACCCTAGCCGTATTTCTATGTTAAACAAACCCTCACTCTAGCTGTAAATACAACCAGTTGCAGTTCAAACTTCAAACCAATCAACTTGAGAGAAATCAACAGAACCAAAGCATCAAATAATCATATTTCCTCTCCTATTCACATAAATTCAAACAATAAAACCTCCTCTCCTATCCTAACAGTGTAAGAGAATTCAATCCAAAACCCTAAAGCAACAAAAGCCCAGATTTTGAACCCCAAAACCCCAGAGAGAGAAAACATGCAATCACCGGAACACAAATCTAGAGAAAGTGTGTGTAGCATACCAGGAGAAGATCCTCTGAGAGGGACCGAGAAGCCCGAACTATCGCGTTTCTGGCCAGCCATTGAAGGAGGCTGAGCAGACCCACCAAAAGAAGACATGGGGCGATAATGGTTATTCATTGAGGAAGCTTGGTGATGAGGAGGAGGAGGACCTCTAGCCATAGGTGGGTACCTTCCAATATCGTTACTAGGAGATCTGGAATGCATTCTGGAGTGCTTGGACTCCTGGTTTAGAGGGCGTTGATCTCCCCTGTATCTCTCCAGCTTTGCAATTAGGGTTCCTCTTTCTTGGTGGAAGAGAGAGAGGGGTTTTGGTTATCGCTCTTCTTCTTCTGCCCTCGAATTAAAGGGCGGGATTTGGAAGGGAAAGGATCTTTAGGTTTGTCGGCTTGAAGAAAGGCGGGGAAAAGGGCGAAGAGAGTCGCGTTTTTAGAGAGAGAAAGAGAGGCCTTGCTTACGGGGTTCAGATTTTAAAGAGAGAAAGAGAGGATTTTAGAGAGAGGTAGATTTTAGCGAGAGAAATCGAGGGTTTTAGAGAGAGGTAGATTTTAGAGAGAGAGAGATTCCCCAGGCTTACTGGTACTGGAGCATTGCGGACTATAGAAAGGTTTAGTACAGACTACAGATTCTGGAGACCTTTTTTTTCTTTTTATCCTCTTTTTATCCTGAATGTTTGGAAGTGTGCAAAAGCTTTGCGCCAACCTGATTTAAACCTTTGTCAAAATAATTGAGGAGTATGAAAAAGGACACTGTACGCCGATAGCAAAACGGTAAAAGGCCTATTATATATAGGGAAATTGACGCCTCTACCATTCTTAATAACCCTTATTAAGTTTTGTACAAAAATAGTATGTTATTACACAAAAGGATGGAGACCCTCAATTTTTTATTTTTTACAAAGTTTGTCCTTGGTCTGATTTTTTAATCCTCATACTGTTCGGTGAACCTCGAAAATTTCTTTTTTTTGGGCTAAGTTTGTCCTCGGTTCGACTTTTCAATCTTTAGACGGGTTGGTAAAATAAAAGTGGTCCGATGTTTTCTAAAGCGTACCGCTTGAATGTTGTTTTTTCTTTCGTTTTTAAAGTGATAGGGCTTAAATAGAGCTAAGCACGAAATTTTCAATCCCTCGTCTCTCCTAACACTCTCTCTATGCTCTTTTTCTCTCTCTACCGGTATCTCCTCTCAGTTCACTCTCTTTTGCCCTCCTATCTATTTGAACCCTACTTTTCCATTTGCCCTAAATTTCCAGAATTTTCAACTAAGGTTTCATATTTGGATATAGCAAAGACATTGAATGTCATGACCCCGCCCCCTGACCCTTACCATACCACCTGCAGGGTGACAGAGTGCGGGATCATGACCAGAGGTCGTGAATGTCACTCAGGTGAGAGTGCTCAACGTGTTTAGAAATGCGTAATCAAAGCAAACCACAAAAGAAATAAAAACTCATTCATCAAGCAACATAATACTACACAAATTAAAACCATTATGTACATATAAAATCTCCGAATGTTCTTTACAATTTTGTCCAAGGCATTACCGGCTTGACAATAACAAGACAATATTACATCAAAACAACATTGTGGCAATGCCACCTAATATCTACTATCAAAAAGTTCTTTGATCAGTCCCGAGCTTCAGCCGCCTGCTACCACTGTCCAGTTGCCCCCCTCGAGATTGGTTGGTTATCACCCTACACAGATCGAAAAATAATAAGAATGAGCTAAAAGCCCAGTAAGTAGATCAATGCCCTTGCATTCCCACCTACATGCACACTTATAGATAAAGTGGTCTGCAGATCATCGTAGTTCATGCAAGTCACATAGTAAAGTCATGCATCACAATTCATTAGCAGTATAAAACGGAGTATGATTCAGATATCAAGGCAGTACATATTGTATGAGCTAATAGGTATTTCACTTCTTATCACAATAACAGGTCAGTACTCAGAAAGAATACACAAAACACACAAGCAAAGTCTAGAGTTGTCTACTCCGAAGTAGAAGTCACATCGATCAAGCCAAGCAAATCCTAAACTTGAAACTTCTACCCTTATTCAGGAGGGAGGACAATGATAAATGGAGACCCTATTTCGCAATGTCCTCACTCACACACACAATCTCCAATGCGCTTTAGGGTTTTTGATATGTGGTGGCCTTGCAAGCTCCTTATGCCTTCGAGCGAGAAGGTGTTACACTACCATTGGAGGACCCAATGCATAGTCACCTCCCGACTCCATTCCTATCATTGAAGTCAAGGCACAGTCTATCCAACTACCAATGGAAGACCCATTGTGTAGTGGTTAGTATCATAAATATCAATCTCAATATAACAAAATCACAATATCCAACTACCAATGGAGGACCCATTGCGTAGTGGTCAATATCACATATGTCAGTCTCAATATAACAGAATCACAATATCCAACTACCAATGGAGGACCCATTGCGTAGTGGTCAGTATCACATTTAATTGCACTATGTAAATGCATGCCCAAGCATTCATTTACTCATGCTTTGCTATTTTCAAGGGTTCAGGGATATTCCTAGTGTCATAAGCATGTATTTTCAGTATCTTATAACAGATAATTTCAATCTCCTTCTGAAGAATCAAGCTATATTCAAAAATATCAGTGCATAACATGTGCATGATTTGCATAACAGTTTGGGATTCATTGTCATTCCCATCCGAAATATGCATATACAAAATGAGACATGGCATTCAATTCATGAGGGATGTCAACTTAATTTAATTATTTACTTGAAATAGACATATATAACTTTCAACCAAGGAGAATTCGAAGCTATTTGTGCATCAATTGATCAATTAAAAGCCCAACACAACAAGGGCAACAGTTTCTAAATATTGCAGCAATCTACGTCCATGACATGTTACACCAACAGGAGCATAACTCCTAAATTTTAAGAAATTATGGGATGGTTTCAAAATCAAAGTTTCAGTAGAAATACACATCTTTCTAACAAAGGTGATTTGAACTGCATTTGGTTAATCAAAAGCTCATAACAACAAAAGTAAATTTCTGAATTGTGCTGAATTCTGCTAACAGTGATATATCCTTCTGGTCAGGGGCATAATTTTGAATCTAGAGGATATTTCGAAATGATTTCAACATGAAACTTTAAGCATAGATCTTTCAAATGACAGTGGTTTGGAAGTAATTGGACTCCATTTGGTTGATCAAAAGCTCATAGTAATAGAGACTACAGTTTTGAATTTCATTGATATCTACTAACAATGATATGCTTGCACAAGTTAAAGCATAACTCCTCATTTATAAAGAATTTGAACAAAGTTTAAACATGAAAATCATAGTATACACATACATCTTTCCAATAGAGGTAATTTGGTGCCATTTGGATGTCATTTGATAGGCCAACCGATTGCCATAAGAACATAAAACTTCCTTAGAATTTCACAGTGTAAACATGGCATTGCTCAAGTAACAATCAATTACTCCCAATTTAAGTTAAACATTAATATGAAACCTTTTTTATCTTGAATGAGACTCACATGAATACCAATTCACATATTTTCATGATCAACAATAGTAATTTAGTGCTCATCTTATCTTGCAAAGAAGCCCTAATTTCTAAAAGACGTGACACAATATAATACACATGCAACCATTGTTTCCCCAAAATTCATACAAGTTCATGCTTATTTTTCATACTTCCATAACTAGAGACATGAAAGGTTTTTGATCCACTTACCTTGTGTGTGCATTGGTGTTCCCAGATTTCCACCCACAACTCACTCCTCAAGCTCCTCAATTGGGGGTCCAACAAAGGTTAGAAAGGGGGTTGTAAATGCTAAGTGTTTTGGCTTGTAAGAATGAGAACATGGCGTGAGGGAAAGAGAGAGAGAGGCTTATGTACTCCAAAAATGTGAGGTAACATCTTGGGGTTGCCATTAGTAATTCAATGACGTGTAGTTTGAGTGGTGGCAATTGTGGCAGCATGCAGTATGCAAGTGGCATCTATGAGTCATGCATGGGCTTGGCGGTGTTGCGCACGGCGGCACTCTTTTATGCTTCTTCTCTCTCTTACTGCCCTGTGTACTTTCTCTTCTTCTTCTCTTTTACCGCCGCGCATGCTTTCTCTTCTTCTTTTCTCTTACCGCCGCTCGCACTTTCTCTTCTTCTTCTCTCTTACCGCAGCTCGCACTTTATCTTCTTCATCTCTCTTACCGCCGCTCGCACTTTATCTTCTTCTTCTCTCTTACCGCCACTCGCACTTTATCTTCTTCTTCTCTCTTACCGCCACGCGCACTTTCTCTTCTTCTTCTCTCTTATGGCCGCACATACTTTCTCTTCTTCTTCTATCTTACCGCCGCGCGTACGTTCTCTGGTCGGGAAAGTCTGGGTCGTTACATTGAAGTTGGGCGAATCAGATTTTTGAGGTACACAAAATGAATTTAAATCTCATGCCTCAATTTATATAAATATTGGAAATCTTTAGCTCCAAGGGTTGTTACACAAAATGAATTTAAATTTCATGTGTCAATTTCTATAAATATTGGAAATCTAGAGCTCTATGGGTTTCCTATTTGTGTTTGCTTAATTTTTTTATTTAATATGAAATTTCTACATTTATTACTAGTAGAGTGTATTAAGTATAAGTAATTATAATTTCATATCATTCATACCAATCCTTATATTTAGATGCACATTGTATGTTTTATCAAATCTATTGAATCAATATCTCTGAGTTTCATGTGCATTATGACAATCGGGTGATGCTTAAAGTTTGTATATTTGATTTTGCTTATGGTATTTGGATGCACATTTCATGCTTTATGAAGTAATTGAATTTTGGTGCTCTATGTATGGATTTGTTGCAAATTGTAATAATGATCAGGGGCTCACTGGATTTATCTGCACTTTCATTTTTACACCCTGTCGTTTATTTGGTATTTTGTGAAATGGGTGACATTCCTTTTAGCAATTAATCTTAATGAATAATTTTAAATGCAATTAATTTAGATTTATACTCAATTTTTTGGCTTTAAGGTGTCTTTGACTAGGGCTATCCCACATTGACTCTACAAGACTGTCATTTGAGTCATCATAATGGCCACATGTGGAGTTAGGTTGTTATGTTGTTACGGTGGTTCCTTTGAAATAAATCTAAACAATGGACAAATGTACTACAAAGGCAGGATTGTAAAATCTACATTGTATAATAGAATTCACTCATTGGAGTAGTTAAATACGCATATGGGGTCTGTTGCGTGTTGTGACCGTAGCAATTTGACATTATGTATCAAAAAAATGATATTTTAGTAGAACTAAACAAATACGCAGATGTGACATGTATGATGTGAGAGAGTTAGTCAATGACTATAGTTGTATGGTGGGAATGGTTCACCATTAATACGAAGACACTTGGTAGTGAGGAAAATTAAACCTCGTTTGACCAATCAGATAAATCTGGCAACCAAATATATTATAAGTGATGTTCAACACGAACATGGTG